TCTATGATACGTGAAATAAGGGGACTGGTTCCTTGTACTACTGGTTGGGCCAACGATAACTCTTGGCAACAATTAATTCCTGTATATGGAGAGTAGAGGATGAGTTTGTATACATGAATCAGTGCACAGCATTTGCTCTTTCTTCAGTGAGTGTCTCTCAATTCCGGTTTAACACCTATAGGTTATCCTCTGAGGGGACTTGGGAGTAAGCTGGGACTTTCACTCACAGGTAGAAAGAACCATGGTTAGAGTTTGTGATGCAATTTCCACACTCTGGGAAAGTACAATTTATGCAGCAACTGAAGTTTTATCAGCATTTTTAGGGAGCTCCTTCCTGTGTCCTGATTGTTAGACTTCAAAGGGATCTTATTTTCCCTAGACCGAGGTCTAGTAGAATCTCAGAAGTGGACAAGTGTAACTAAATTACAAACGACCAGGTCTTAAGTTTTAGGAAAATGGGGATAGCTAGAGCATGGTGGTCTAAGAGTTGGATTTGGCCGGGCGCGGGTGCCGCTCACGCCTGCTACTCCTAGCACTTTGGGGAGGCCGAGGCAGGCGCCGATTGCTCAAAGGTCAGGAGTTCGAAACCAGGCCTGAGGGAGACCCCGTTCTACCAAACAATTAGAAAGATATTAATTTGGACCAACTACAAATATTATATCACAAAAAATTGGCCGGGGCATGGTGCATGGCACCATGCATGCACACTGGCATGGCACATGCCATGCTCAAGTCCAGCTATCAGGGAGGCTGGAGGCAGGAGTGATCGCTTGAGCCCAGGGATTGAGGTGCTGGGACGGAGGCTGATGCCATGGCACTCACTCATGAGCCTGGGGCCAAAAGTGAGACTCATGTTCGTCAAAAAAAAAATAAAGAAAAAAAAGAGTTGGATTTTGGGGCTGGCCCGTGGGTGGCTCAGAAATCGTATTTCCACATTGGGAGGTCGAGGCAGAAGGATTGCTTGAGGCCAGCAGTTTGAAGTTGCAGTGAGCTATGATGATGCCACTGCATGCTAGCCCTGGTGACAGACTGAGACACTGTCTCAAAAAAAAAAATAGTTGGATTTTGGAGTCACACAACATGGATTTTAATTCTCTTCATCTTCATAATAGCTGTGACCTTGGCTAGTATGCTTAACTCTTCTAGTCTTTATTTCCCTAGTAAAATGTATGGTAAGGGTTATAATCTTACAAGATTGCTACGAAGACTAAAACATAACAAAGTGCTTAGTCCAGTGTCTGATAGATGGTAAGCCCCTTTATAAATATTAGCTATTATTATTTAGAAAGAGATTCCAAATTAATATTTGACCAAATATTTCACTGTACAGGGATACCCGTACAGGAGATATATATGTAAGAGAATTCTGGCTCTGAGTGGACCTGATTAGCTTATCACTTTGAACTTCTAATTTCCAGATGCCGGCTATGAGTTTGACATCTGCTTCACCTCAGTGCAGAAGAGAGCAATCCGGACCCTCTGGACAGTGCTGGATGCCATTGACCAGATGTGGCTGCCTGTGGTGAGGACCTGGCGCCTCAATGAGCGGCACTATGGGGGTCTGACTGGTCTCAATAAGGCGGAGACTGCAGCCAAGCATGGTGAGGCCCAGGTCAAGATCTGGAGACGCTCTTATGATGTCCCCCCGCCGCCGATGGAGCCTGACCACCCCTTCTACAGCAACATCAGTAAGGTGTGGAGAAACCGAGGTTTGGTCACTCTGCCAGGATTAGAGGGTTAGAATTTGGGCCTCATTCTTTAGCTTTTTTGAATGTCTGCCTAGTCTCACTGAATTTATAATTTATGATAAAATAGTTAATCATAATCTCCCTCTTCAAGAAATAACCTTCACTTATTAAGAGTTGCTACTTTGGCTGGCCGGGTGCGGTGGCTCACGCCTGTAATCCTAGCACTCGGGGAGGCTGAGGCGGGTGGATTGCTCAAGGTCAGGAGTTCAAAACCAGCCTGAGTGAGACCCCGTCTCTACTAAAAATAGAAAGAAACTAATTGACCAACTAAAATATATATATACACATACACACACACACCACACACTAGTATTATATATATATTATTTAGTGAAATTTTCTGTCGTGTTGTTTTGTCTGTATACTTAAAATGTTATGAGCATTATATAAAAGAAATTATGTTTTAAAAAGAACATTTATGTAATGCAGTTACATGGAAAAATTAAAAATAATTTTTTTTTTTGTTTTGAGACAGAGTCTTCGGTTCTGTTGCCTGGGCTAGAAGTGCTGTGAGTGTCGAACCTAGCTCACAGCAACCTCACACTCCTGGGCTCAAGCGATCCTCCTGCCTCAGCCTCCCGAGTAGCTGGGACTATAGGCATGTGCCACCATGCCCAGCTAATTTTTTTCTATGTATTTTTAGTTGGCCAATTAATTTCTTTCTATTTTTAATAGAGACGGGGGTCTCGCTCTTGCTCTGGCTGGTCTCAAACTCCTGACCTTGAGCCATCCTCCCGCCTCGGCCTCCCAGAGTGCTAGGATTACAGGCGTGAGCCACCGCGCCCGGCCACAATATTCATTATTAATATAATGTTATTAGTAATATTATTATGAATAGTCGTTTCCTTTCATCATCTCATTAATTTTTCACAAGACTTTGCTTAAGTGGGTATGAATATGATTTTTTAATTATTTTTTTCTATTTTTTAATGCAATTTTTACTGCAGTGAGGTATGGGATGAATATGATTATTGTCCCAGTTTACAGATGGGGTAACTGAGGATGAGAAGTTGAGTGACCCATCTCAGGCCCCACAGCTAACCAGAAACAGACATACTTGAACTCGAGTTTCTGATGGCATCTTCTTCCCACTCATATTTCCTACTCATTGCAGAAGTGGTAGTACCGATGAGGAGATGCTGTGATGAGGACACAGAAATCTTGAATTTCCCGACAGCAGGGGGAGGAGAAAGGAACATGGTAGGAATCAGGCTGGGAGCATGGATTTGGGCCAAGGCAGAAGGACAAAAAGCCAAGGTTAAGGCTGGAAAAGCTCTCCCTGGGAGGGCCTGGAGATCAGATTAGGATGACCATGTAGCAGGAAAGACCAGACGAGAACTTTCTAAGAGAGAGTCTTCTCAGAAAGACTCCCATGGGCGCCATGCCCAAGGGATTAAACCACAAGCCCTTTGATGGCAATTCTAGCTTTGCAGCCCTGGGGGCCTGTGATTTCTGGGTGTAGCACCCCATCCTGGTCACCTCTCCAGTTACTGAATTCCACCTTCTCCCACCTACAGAGGAGGGAGGCAGTGGAGCACTGTGGTTAGACTGCGGGCCATTGGACAGCCTGAGTTTGAGTCCTGGTTTCTCCTCCACTTCCTAGCTGTGACTTTGCAAACTATTTCTCTGGGCCTCAGTTTTCTCATCTGTGGAATGGAGCTATAACAGTACTTACATTATATAAACTGGTGGAGGGTTGAGATTTAAAGGATTGACACAATAAACTCTCACAAACAGTAGCAATTATCTATAAGCCAGTCCTATATGTTTTGGTTCATGTTGTTCCCAGAGTGCTTTTTCTCCACTTCTCAAATCCTTCCCACTCTTCAAAGTCAACAAATGCCTAAAATGCAACAAAAATATGGAGGCCATAGTCAGTAGAAGGTAAGTGTGTGGACTTGGGAACCAGCCGGCTTAGGCTTAAATCCTGATTCCTGTCACCTTGGGCAAATTACCTCACCCTTAGTTTCCTCACTTGCAAGTGGGGAAAATGATACTATTATAGGGTCAAAATGATACCTTATAGGGTCATTATGAAGCTATAAGGATTGAAGGAGTTAATGTTTGTAAAGCACTTACATAACTCTGCCTGGCATGCAATAGGTGCTTTACCAGTGCATGTTAAAAACTTTTCTAGGATCTGTCGAGATATAGCACACAGCACCTTGTTGTTAGCTGTGTACGTGTGGGTTTTATGTGCCCTCTGCTTGCATGAAGGGCAGGAAACACACCAGCCTTGACTCTAGCCCACTGCCTGGCTCGTGTTTTGTGGTCATTAAAATGGTTAGATTGAAATCAACTAGGAGACAGAGACCTGGCAGGAGAAAGTGGTCCAGATAAGCCGATATTTAAACTGCTGATTGGGACTAGGAGAGGGACAAGTTGTGACTAGAATTCACCTCTTTCTGGAATGTGTGAAGAGGCCTGGAGTATGCTTCCTTGTTGGAGGCCCAGGAAGCAATGACTTGAGGCATGTGAGAGACTGTCATAGATAAGGGACAAAAACAGCCCTGTGTAAGACAAAGAGCAGGCTTTGGTGTTTTACTTTTGAGACAAGGTGCTACCAGGCCGGTCTCGACCTTCTGGTCACTAGCGATCCTCCAGCCTCAGCCTCCAGAGCAGCTGGGGTCACAACAGGAGCAGCCGCTGGGCCCGGCCCGGCCAAGAGCAGCCTTTGGAATAATTTGGCATCAGGGTAGGTTTCCTCATCTGTAACATAGGAGCAAAATGATGAGCGTTCCACTGAAACGAGGTCGCAATAGAAAAATCTATTTACTGAGCACTTCCAGGTAGACAGCTACCAGGTAAGTATTTTAAGATGTCTATTTTACAGATGAGGCTGAGAGGTTTCGCGACCTGCCCAAAGATACACAGCACATAAATTGCAAGAGTGAAGATTCAAACACAGGTGTGTGAATCAGACTGCGTGCGGACAGGACAGTGAGCTGGCAGAGCTACGGAGCGGTTCCAGTGATAAGGGGACTTATCACGCCAGTGGCTTAGGAGCGACAGCAACAGGAGGGCAGCGCCGCCGCGCGGGAGCGGCCCGGCCGTGCCACACTCGCGCCCGGCCGCCCCGGCGCCCCGCTGCCCTTCGCGTGCTTACGTGCGCTCCGTGACCGCCGCGGCGGACGCGGGGCAGGCGGCGGAGGACGCATGCGCCCTGGCGTCCCGAAGCGCACCCCCTCCCCTCAGCGGCGGCCGCGACGTGATGGGGCGCATGCGTAAAGCTGGCGGGAGGAGGGCGGTTCCTAGCGAGTGGAAAGATTTGGGCGAGAAAGGGCGCGGGAGCCGGGCCGTGGGGCGCGAGTGCGCAGGCGCGGGCGGGCTGTGACTCCGGAATCTCGGCGATCCCCAGTCGGCGCCGCATCCCCTGCCCGCTGCCATGGCCGCGTACAAGCTCGTGCTCATCCGGCACGGCGAGAGCGCCTGGAACCTGGAGAACCGCTTCAGCGGCTGGTACGACGCCGACCTGAGCCCGGCCGGCCACGAGGAGGCGAAGCGCGGCGGGCAGGCGCTGCGAGGTGCGGAGGGGCCGGGGCGCGCTGCGGGCGGGGGCTGCGCAGGGCCGGGGGCTGCGCAGGGCCGGGGGCTGCGCAGGGCCGGGGGCTGGCCTCGGAGGCCGCCCGGCTCGCGTGCGCGCCCTCCCGGAGAGGGCAGACACTTCAGGCAGCGTCTCTCCAGCAGTTTAGTTTGCTGTTGAGGAAATGGGCGCAGAGTGGGCAGTCCACTTGCTCAAGGTCACCCAGTGGCATGCGAGCGGCCGCGCCGGGTGGAGGACCCAAGGCGGTGGCCCTGCAGCCCTTTCCGCTCTCCACCGCACCGCCTTGCAAAATTCCCACTTTTTAGTCCGAGCATTTAGTAACTCTAGGACCCGTTATCCCGATGGAGCTATCTATGGCAGCCAGGCCTTTTTAGGGTTCCCTAGAGACAGAGGCGGTTGGTAAGGCCTGGGGCTCCTGGAGGGGATGCCTGGTGCTGTAAGGCCCTGTAACCAAGCCTTCTCAAGAGGCGCCTGCGGATCCTGCGAACGGCAGGCCACAGGCTTGTTACTGGCAGTGACGGGAGTGAGGCTGCTTTGGGGGATACCTAACAAGCTTTAAGACACCAAGAAATACGCGTGCTTGTGTAGGGCTTTGCTGTTCAGCAGCATTCCACAAATACTGTGTCCAGAACACATCCACAGGTGTAACTGAGAATGAATGAATGAATGGTTTGAGTTGTTTTTCTCTGCAACCCCATACACAGGTTTTATCCCCTCCTTCCCATCCCTTCCAGGTCCCTTTTTATAGCTAGGAAAAGTGAGGATTTGGAAAGATGACTTGTTCAAGGTCATATCTTATTGCTAGTCCAGTGTCCTTGCCCCACTTTTGGGTGGAGGGAGAGATAGGTGTGAAGAACTGGTAGGCTGTTGGACAACGACGCTGGGCAAAGGTGAAAGTGGCAGTGAGATAGTGCTTGTCCCCTGCCCCAGACTGCCCTTTTGTGATTTTGGAATGCTAATAAGGAAGCATTCCCTGCTGCCAGCAACTCAGAATCCCTGGCGGAAGAGGTGTTCCACGGATGATTGGGGCAGGTCCTTTCCCTGTTCCCTTCTAACCTCTGGAGGAGGAAGCAGAGGGCCATTGATACCTGGTTGATAAGGTACAGGTATGTGGCCCCAGGTTGCTCTCCTTAGCTTCTTGCCTTCACTGAACTTCCTTTTCAAATGAAGCAAAGCTTGGGAAAGTCTGGGAAATGTAATCCTGGGGGACAGGGGGCATGTGAATGCTTTGGGATTGCCTGGTGTGACCTCACCTTTTAGGAAAGGCTGAGAAATGGAAAGTGCTAGTAAAGGAGGCCATTTTCTGTAGCTCATTGGCAGGAAGAACTGTATGAGTCTGGTGGTTTGCTGATGACTAGCCTAGGACAAAAGTGAATTGCCTCTGTCCTCTATTTAAGACTGATCAAATCGTTAAACTTGTCTTTTCTGTAAAATCATAGACCATGTTTATTTTAAAATAAATGTTGGTAGCATTAAATACAAAAAAGCCAGGTTTAAAATTTTAATATTATGAGCATCATAGATGCTTACATTAAAGAATGAAAGACTAGAAGCAAATTCTATTTTTTTTTTTTTTGAGACAGAGTCTAGCTTTGTTGCTCAGGCTAGAGTGAGTGTCGTGGCGTCAGCCTAGCTCACAGCAACCTCAAACTCCTGGGCTGAAACGATCCTTCTGCCTCAGTCTCCCGAGTAGCTGGGACTACAGGCACTTGCCACCATGCCCGGCTAATTTTTTCTATATATTTTTAGTTGTCCAGTTTCTTTCTATTTTTGGTAGAGATGGGGTCTCTTGCTCAGGCTGGTCTTGAACTCCTGAGCTCAAATGATCTGCCCACCTTGGCCTCCCAGAGTGCCTAGGCCATACTTTTGTTTAGTGGGCAAGTTAAAGGAAGAGGCTTTATGCTTCTGTCCCCTCAGTGTTCTCTGTAGAGTGTCCTAAGGGGAACTGCTTCCTCCTTGAGGATCTCCTTGTGTATCCAAAGTGAGATGCTCCATTGCAAGGGGAAATAATTAGTGAAACAGCCTCTAGCTTTTCAGCATGGGATCTGAGGCTTACACTGTGAGTACTCAGGCCCCAGTGACTCAGCCTTTTTTGGGGAACCATTCCTCCCCTTACAGTTAGGGAAGTGATGGTAACAGTCTACCAGGACTTGTCCTGAGGCTCAGAGATGAGACCTGTCTTCTCTTGTGGGTGTGGTGGGTTTCCCTGGTGATTAATCCTTCTTTTCCCCGTTGGTATTGTTCTTACTGGCCTCATTCTCAGTTGTATGACTAGCAGGAATATTCACTTCACATTTTATTAATTACAGTTGTTAACCTCAGTATGAAGCAATATCCAGGAAAGTTTGTGCTGAATTTCAAAGAGGTCCATGTAGCTTCATGGAGGAAAACAGGAGTGTTTTCCTGATCTATATAAGGAAAGGGCCATTTCCCCTTTAAGATGGGAGGGAGAATAATCTTCTATGATACGTGAAATAAGACTGGTTCCTTGTAACCTACTGGTTGGGCCAACATAACTCTTGCAACAATAACTACTGTATATGGAAGAGAGATTGATTTATAAATGAATCAGTGCACAGCATTTGCTCTTTCTTCAGTGAGTGTCTTCTCAACTTGGTTTAACACTTAAGTAGGTATACTCCTCTGAGGGGACTTGGGAGTAGGCTGGCACTTTCACTACAGTAGAAAGAAACCATGGGTTAAGAGTTTGTGATGCAATTTCCACACTCTGGGGAAAGTACAATTTCATGCAGCAAACTGAAGTTTTATCAGCATTTTTAGGAGCTCTTCCTGTGACCTGATTGTTAGACTTCAAAATCTTATTTTCCCTAGACCAGAGGTCTAGTAAATATCAGAAGTGACAATTGTAACTAAAATACAAACACCAGGATCCTTAAGAGTTTAGGAAAATGGGGATAGCTAGAGATGGTGGTTAAGAGTTGGATTTGGGCCGGGCGCGGTGGCTCACGCCTGTAATCCTAGCACTTTGGGAGGCCGAGGCAGGCGGATTGCTCAAGGTCAGGAGTTCGAAACCAGCCTGAGCGAGACCCCGTCTCTACCAAAAATAGAAAGATATTAATTGACCAACTAAAAATATATATACAAAAAATTGGCCGGGCATGGTGCATGGCACCATGCATGGCACATGCCTGCAGTCACAGCTACTCAGGAGGCTGAGGCAGGAGGATCGCTTGAGCCCAGGAGATTGAGGTTGCTGTGAGCGAGGCTGATGCCATGGCACTCACTCTAGCCTGGGCAACAAAGTGAGACTCTGTCTCAAAAAAAAAAAAAAAAAAAAAAGAGTTGGATTTGGGGCTGGCGTGGGTGGCTCAAACATGTAATCCAAGCACATTGGGAGGTCGAGGCAGAAGGATTGCTTGAGGCCAGCAGTTTGAAGTTGCAGTGAGCTATGATGATGCCACTGCATGCTAGCCCTGGTGACAGACTGAGACACTGTCTCAAAAAAAAAAATAGTTGGATTTTGGAGTCACACAACATGGATTTTAATTCTCTTCATCTTCATAATAGCTGTGACCTTGGCTAGTATGCTTAACTCTTCTAGTCTTTATTTCCCTAGTAAAATGTATGGTAAGGGTTATAATCTTACAAGATTGCTACGAAGACTAAAACATAACAAAGTGCTTAGTCCAGTGTCTGATAGATGGTAGCCCCTTTTTTTTTTTTTTTTTTTTTTTTTTTTTTTTTTTTTTTTGAGACAGAGTCTCGCTTTTGTTGCCCAGGCTAGAGTGAGTGCCGTAGCGTCACCTAGCTCACAGCAACCTCAAACTCCTGGGCTCGAGTGATCCTTCTGCCTCAGCCTCCGGGTAGCTGGGACTACAGGCATGCGCCACCATGCCCGGCTAATTTTTTTTTTTTATATATATCAGTTGGCAATTAATTTCTTCTATTTATAGTAGAGACGGGGTCTCGCTCTTGCTCAGGTTGGTTTTGAAACTCTGACCTTGAGCAATCCGCCCGCCTCAGCCTCCCAAGAGCTAGGATTACAGCGTGAGCCACAGCGCCGGCCGATGGTAAGCCCTTTATAAATATTAGCTATTATTATTTAGAAAGAGATTCCAAATTAATATTTGACCAAATATTTCACTGTACAGGGATACCCGTACAGGAGATATATATGTAAGAGAATTCTGGCTCTGAGTGGACCTGATTAGCTTATCACTTTGAACTTCTAATTTCCAGATGCCGGCTATGAGTTTGACATCTGCTTCACCTCAGTGCAGAAGAGAGCAATCCGGACCCTCTGGACAGTGCTGGATGCCATTGACCAGATGTGGCTGCTGTGGTGAGGACCTGGCGCCTCAATGAGCGGCACTATGGGGTCTGACTGGTCTCATAAGGCGGAAGACTGCAGCCAAGCATGGGTGAGGCCCAGGTCAAGATCTGGAGACGCTCTTATGATGTCCCCCCGCCGCCGATGGAGCCCGACCACCCCTTCTTTACAGCAACATCAGTAAGGTGTGGAGAAACCGATGGTTTGGTCACTCTGCCAGGATTAGAGGGTTAGAAATTTGGGCCTCATTCTTTGCTTTTTTGAATGTCTGCCTAGTCTCACTGAATTTATAATTTATGATAAAATAGTTAATTCATAATCTCCTCTTCAAGAATAACCTTCACTTATTAAGAGTTTGCTACTTTGGCTGGCCGGTGCGGTGGCTCACGCCTAGTAATCTAGCACTCGGGGAGGGCTGAGGCGGGTGATTGCTCAAGGTCAGGAGGTCAAAACCAGCCTGGGGTGGAGACCCGTCTCTACTAAAAATGAAAGAAACTAATTGACCAACTAAAATATATATATACACATACACACACACACACACACACACATATATATATATAAAAAATTAGCCAGGCATAGTGGCGCATGTCTGTAGTCCCAGCTACTTGGGAGGCTGAGGCAGTAGGATTGCTTGAGCCCAGGAGATTGAGGTTGCTGTGAGCTAGGCTGAAGCCATGGCACTCACTCTAGCCTGGCAACAAAGTGGAACTCTGTCTCCAAAAAAGAAAAAAAAAGAGTTGCTACTTTGTGTTGTTTAAGAATATTTTATTTGGCAGGTGCCTGGGCAACAAAATGAGACTCTGTCTCAAAAAAAAAAAAAAAAAGGAGTTGCTACTTTGTGTTGTTTAAGAATATTTTATTTGGCCCGTGCGGTGGCTCACGCCTGTAATCCTAGCACTCTGGGAGGCGGAGGCTGGCGGATTGCTCGAAGTTAGGAGTTCGAAACCAGCCTGAGCAAGAGCGAGACCCCGTCTCTACTATAATAGAAATAAATTAATTGGCCAACTAATATATATAGAAAAAAAAATTAGCCGGGCACGGTGGTACATGCCTGTAGTCTCAGCTACTTGGGAGGCTGAGGCAGGAGGATTGCTTGAGTCCAGGAGATTGAGGTTGCTGTGAGCTAGGCTGATGCTACAGCACTCACTCTAGCCTGGGGAACAAAGTGAGACTCTTGTCTCAAAAAAAAAAAAAAATTTATAGCTCCCCCCTGACCCCAGAGATGGAGTCATGCTATGTTGCTCAGGCTGGATTTGAACTCCTGAGCTTAAGGAATCTTCCCTTCTTAGCCTTCTGGGTAGCAGGGACTATAGGCATGGGCCATCGTACCTAGCTCTAAGAAAAATTTCTGTCTTTTTTTAAATATATCTATTGCTATATTTTATAGAACCCATCCATAGCCTTAGGGCCTTTCTAAACCAATGCAAGTTAAAGTGAATTGGGAAGAGCCTTATTGTATAACCTTTTTTTCTTCTTTTTAGGCTACAGGAATTTTTTTTCTTTTAAGTTATTTTGGACCCTGGTGAGAGACCCCCACCCATCACTTAACCCCTCAGGAAATGAGGACTGGGCAGAATCAATACATTGCAAAATCATTTAATAGATGCAATTGCTAAGTGGTATAAACTTGAATTTTTTTTTTCTTTTTTTAAAAGGATCGTAGGTATGCAGATCTCACTGAAGACCAACTACCCTCCTGTGAGAGTCTGAAGGACACTATTGCCAGAGCTCTGCCCTTTTGGAATGAAGAAATAGTTCCCCAGATTAAGGAGGGGAAACGGGTACTGATTGCAGCCCATGGCAACAGCCTTCGGGGCATTGTCAAGCATCTGGAGGGTATGTGCCTTTTTTAGAGGGGACCTCAAAGAGGGATAAAGTAGGCCTGCCACTAATCAGGGACTTACTTAGTATAAAGGAGACCTTCAAAAAAGGGCTGGACATACTGAGGGAGACAGTCTAGATCAGGGGTCCTCAAACTACGGCCTGCAGGCCACATGTAGCCTGCAGAGCACATTTATCCGGCCCGAAGGTGTTTTTGCTGCTGCTGCCTGTCCTGCTTAGCAGCCAACTCATCCCGGGCCCACAGTGCGCATGTGTGGAAAGTGCATCGCACTCTCCGACGGCCCTCCAGCGGTCTGAGGGACAGTGAACTGGCCCCCTGTTTAAAAAGTTTGAGGACCCCTCGTCTAGATTGACTCCTAGTGGAAAAACACCCTCCAGCACGTTTCTGAAAATGTGGTCTGTAGAGCAGTGACAGCTGGAGCTCCTGGGAGCTTGATAATCCATACGGGATCTCAGGTCCCACTCCAGACCCGATTCAGAAGCAGCATCTGCTCCCAGGGGATTCAGATACACATTCAGGTTTGAGATGCCTAAACTAGGATTGCCAGTTGAAACTTCTGATAAAAATCTTCCTTAGTTACAACCTGGCACAACTTAACATAGGAATCTCAATTTGCATCTTAAATTGTTTCACCCGAGGGCCTAAATGCCCAGGTGTGCTGATTTTTGGCAGGCTGGACAGACTATATTTTTGAGATCTATATCCCATTTTGGTAGGGATATCTACAGTATACACCTTTCTGTAGTTTGTTTGTGGTCCATCTCAAAATCTTGTATACCTTTTCTTGCTTTTCAGTTTAATGGCTGAGAAATAAGTATTAGGGACCATTCCTTGGGTTCAGAACTACCATTAGATTGGAAAGGATGTCTTATTTTAATTCCTGTCAAAGTACTTTGTCACCCAGAGGACTAAGTAAACCTGGAGGGGTGCCGTGGATTCATATCTTGTGTGGCTGATCATGGTGGGTGTTTTCAGGTCTCTCTGAAGAGGCTATCATGGAGCTGAACCTGCCGACTGGTATTCCCATAGTCTATGAATTGGACAAGAACTTGAAGCCCATCAAGCCCATGCAGTTCCTGGGGGATGAAGAGACGGTTCGTAAAGCCATGGAAGCTGTGGCTGCCCAGGGCAAGGCCAAGAAGTGAAGGCCAGAAGACAGAATACTGCCCAAGGAACACCCTCCCCACCCTCCCATTCCTCTGCACCTCTCCCCTGCACGTCACACTGACCACATCTGGAGGCATCCTAAGTTGTAGCTGCAGATGGGGACCAGTGGCTCCTGTTTTCATCCTAGTCATTTTTTTCTCCTACACCCACTCCCTTCATACAATCTAGTCAGAATAGCACCTCTGGGGTCTGGGTTCTCAGTCCAAGCCAAGGGGTAACTCGGGGTTTGCCAGTGCTTTGTTTACTAGGGACCTGCTTGAGTAGGGGATAGGGAAGAACCATGTGGAGGCATGACCAAATGAGGAGGAGCAGGAGAGCCTCTTTGCTCCCTGGAGCGGGTCCTGTACTCTCCATAGTCAGGCTACTGCCTGGGGGGCTCTAGTCATTCCAGTGGAAGATGAATGTAACCTCCAGGGTGATGTACAAAAATAGCAGTTTCCTCCCTGACCCCAGAGAAGCTGGCTCCCGAAGGTTGGGATGGATCCTGAATTAAGTTTGTGTTGCATTTACTTTTACAAAAAGAGAATATATAAATAATACAAAACAAAAAACCCTCCTAGGGTTTTCTAGTGGCGGTTGAAATAGTCCCACATATGGTCATTAGAAAATAAGCCATTCCTCACCTCACACCAATATGGGATAAGCTCCTTGACTTCTAATGGGTAGGAGCGCATCCTGCTGTGTATTTTAGAATCCTTCCCCAGTCTTGTTTTGTGGCAGTGAAATGCCTCTTGATCATGTCCAAGTGTGTCTTTCACTGTATGATTTCTGAGTCATGTTCTAGTTGCTTGGCCCTGCCATGTGGGCCCAGTACTCATTTTAAGCATAACTGTACTAATCTTTTTTCCAGATCAGTATAATAAAGGAGTGATGTGCAATATTTTCATGTGTGATATGTAAGACCTTTTGTCTGAGGAAATCTTAGCATTCACCTTGAAATGTCGCTCATTACCCAAGTCCTTGTACGACAGGATCAGGAGTTTAAGACAACCAGTCATAACTTTACACAGTCTGCTGCAGCTTTTCCACATAGTCTGAAGGGCTAAGGTCTGGGGTAGGATGTTTCCCCTCTGTAGCTCCTGCTCAGTGGTCCTGGTTACTGAACGTCCCTCAACGGCAAAGTCAAATTCTGAATCTCCATTATACCCTTTTTAGAGTAAGTAAAGACTTTGCTGGATTTTTTTTTAACCCTGTTCTATTAGTAATCTAAACTTGATATCTTTTTGGCCCCTAAAGTTGAACCCTGCCAGTCATCTAATAACATCCTTGGTTGAATGTGGTGGCTCATGCCTATAATCCTAGCACTTTGGGAGGTCAGGTAGACAATTGCTTGAGCCCAGGAATTCAAGGCTGCACTGAGCTGTGATCATACCACTGCACTCCAGCCTGGGCAACAGAGTAAAACCCTGTCTCCAAAAAACAAAATCCTCAAAAATTATACATAACTTTAAAAAATGACTTTGTGCAGTGGGAAGAACATTATTACACTACACTATTGGGAAGGGGTATTGCTCACATTTGCCACCTTTCCACAAGGCCTTTGAAAAGATCATTAGAATGTAAGAAAGTCCGTGTGGCAAGAGAAAACATTTCCCTTGTACTAGTAGGAGCAGGTAATACCCTCCATCTACTGAGCTGTAAAACTCCTCTGTGCCAGCCATTGCTGGATAAGAACTCGTGAAAGGGCTGGTAACTCCAGTTTACGGAAGAGGAAATATGTAGAAATGTGCTCAGTACTGGAGCCCAGATGAAGGATTTCAGTTCAACTAAATCCAGGTCCTTATTCTAAAATTTAGATTTAAGCATCTTGCTTTTCAAGTTGAGTTTTTCATTTTATCTACATAATAACCTTAGGAAGACCTTTACTAATTTGAGTCTCCCAAGAGCCTGGTGAGGTGCTATCTTCCTAACCTGTACAGTATCCTAGACCAGAGTTGGTAATTTTCTTTGACCAAGGGCCCTTAACCAAGTCAGATTGGACTGACTGGCTCACAGGGTACCCAACTCTAGCTGTGGGTGTAAGGGAGATACTATCAGTAGCAGAAGTTCCACCTTCCTTGTCAGAGGTGAGTGCCAGAGAGCAAGGCTTGCTATAGGAGCGATGTCTTTGCAGAAAGACCCTTTCTGGTCTTGAGGCATCTGCTGCCCATGTTGTGTGGCTCTTGGCTCCAAGCCCTCCTATGGGAAAGGGGCTAAGGATGTGCCTTCTGTTGCCCTCTCCTGCCACCCAGAGTTGAATCCCATGGAGTCTTAAATTTATTGTGCCAGCCCCTCAACACATTTTTTACTTGATTTTCGCACCACTTGAAGGTAGGTAGGTTCATCCCAATTTTTATGGATGAGGAAATAGGCTTGAGTGAGCGGGGAGGTTAAGTAATTTATCTAAGATCTCACATGGATTAAAGTGTGGAGCATGTTTCAAACTCAGGTCCTTCTGACTACAAGCCCACATACCCCAGTGGTCAGCTCAGTGACAGCTTGGGTAGAGCTACTCAGTCTTGCTGGCCAGCTCCAAGGAATGGGCATCTGGTTGCGACCACCAGGCCAGGCTCCACTGCTGGGGAATAAGGACTTTGCTCCCCACCCTACAAGACAGTGAGTGGGTACAGTCAGAGGAGAGAAGTATACTGGTTCAAATGACAAATTCTCCATATGCAGAGGGCCAGGTAAGCAAGTGCCACTCTGTGGCTGAACAGTAAAAGCAGCATGACTCTAAAGGTGAGATCAACTCTCTGGAGGAAATCATCCTCCACATAATCCATAGGGTCATCTGCTGGGAACTGGCTTCTGCCAAAAGGAAAGTGCTTTCCTATAGGGCAGCAAAAATGGCTGGCTGAAAATGTAATCCATTTCAGCTGAGAACTCTAATGTGTTCAGCCAGTGCCAGTAAAATGATGAATGGAGATGCTGCCATAATGGATGAGGGAATATGGAGTCTAGAACAGAGAGCCTGTCCATTTATCCACCCCGGGGGAAGACAGGGGAACCCCAGGGAGATTAAAATTCCTAGATCTTAGAAACACAGATTATGCAGTGAAGTCAGGGGAGTCTCTACCACAGGTCACTCGGCAGAACCCACAACCCATCCAGCTCTCTCATGTTTAGTTCTCTTGTTCTTCTCTTTTTCAAAGCTCTACCTGGTCACTGCTGTTTCTGAGTTCCCTGATACTATGAAGGCCGCACATTAGAACATCAACAATTGTTGAAAAAAGATTCCTTACTGGGAATTAATGTAAATGTCTGTTCTGGTTTATCAATCAGTCTCCTGTGAATTTAGGGAGAGTGAATCAATTCTCTAAACTCTGATTGCCTCTAAGCAGGTGTTTTCATCAAGATGTGGCAATCAGGCTGGGCGCGGTGGCTCACGCCTATAATCCTAGCACTCTGGGAGGCCGAGGCGGGTGGATTGCTCAAGGTCAGGAGTTCGAAACCAGCCTGAGCAAGAGTGAGACTCCGTCTCTATTATAAATAGAAATTAATTGGCCAACTAATAAATATAGAAAAAACTTAGCCAGGCATGGTGGCACATGCCTGTAGTCCCAGCTACTCAGGAGGCTGAGGCGGTAGGATTGCTTGAGCCCAGGAGTTTGAGGTTGCTGTGAGCCAGGCTGATGCCATGGCACTCACTCTAGCCTGGGCAACAAAGCAAGACTCTGTCTCAAAAAAAAAAAAAAAAAAAAAAAAAAAAAGTGGCAATCTGAGATGATTCCTCTGCAGTCTGGGAGGCCTGGACAGTAAATACTTAAGGAATAGACTTATGAAGGGAAAGGCTATGCCATTTTACCAGGCTGCCCTTTTGGCCTCAGGCTTCACCCTCCAGGGCCAGCCCTGGTTTGGGGAATCTGGTGAAATCAAGTTCCTGAGTGAACGAAACACAGATCCACACAGATCCGTAACTGGTGATGACCCCTAGGCAAAACCCTCACAAATGCTCTCCGCAGTCAGTATCCTATGGCTGGTGATTCTGTTTTTTCTGGAGCCTGCTGTGAACCCCAAATTTTTTAAACCACCACGTGCTGACCCATTTTACCGTTCATCCTTCTGATTCTAGTCCCCACTTGGGTGGCTACAAGGGCATCAGGTATTGTCACTTGGTCTTTGTCCAGCTCTCCCCAGGGTTCAGCAGCCTTTCCTCTCAAGGGTGACTTTGGCAGCTTAATCCTTTCGCCTCTTAATCCTTCATCCTCACTTGCCTGGTCCAGAGTAACTTCTTGAGGGATGACCTTTTTCCCAAGGATACTTTGTTTAGTATTATCTGTCACTAAACAAGTTTGGGTTATCTACTTCACCATTTACTTTTTTTTTTTTTTTTGAGACAGAGTCTCGCTTTCTTGCCTAGGCTAGAGTGAGTGCCATGGCGTCAGCCTAGCTCACAGCAACCTCAAACTCCTGGGCTCAAGCAATCCTCCTGCCTCAGCCTCCCGAGTAGCTGGGACTACAGGCACGAGCCACCATGCCCGGCTGATTTTTATATTATATATATTAGTTGGCCAATTAATTTCTTTCTATTTTTATGGTAGAGACGAGGTCTCGCTCAGGCTGGTTTTGAACTCCTGACCTTGAGCAATCCGCCCGCCTCGGCCTCCCAGAGTGCTAGGATTACAGGCGTGAGCCACCGCGTCCGGCCCATTTACCTCTTTGTCAGGGAATCTGCACTCACTTTTTCCCTGGGAACAGTTCCACCAAGTACAAATTCTGACACTACAACTCCCACCCCCCACCAATGATTGGATGGGCTTCCAATTCAAGGGCAGGATTCATAAGCTTGTTGGTGATATGACTTTGGTGGCCTGGCTCTAAAAAATGAATTGGGGCCGGGTGCGGTGGCTCATGCCTATAATCCTAGCACTCTGGGAGGCCGAGGTGGGTGGATCTTTGAGCTCAGGAGTTCGAGACCAGCCTGAGCAAGAGCGAGACCCCGTCTCTACTAAAAAGAGAAACAAATTATCTGGACAACTAAAAATACATGGAAAAAATTAGCCAGGCATGGTGGCACATGCCTGTAGTCCTAGCTACTGGGGAGGCTGAGGCAGAAGGATTGATTGAGCCCAGGAATTTGAGGTTGCTGTGAGCTAGGCTGATGCCACAGCACTCTAGCCCGGGCAACAGAGTGAGACTCTGTCTCAAAAAAAAACAAAACAAAACAAAACAAAACAAAAAAAACGTTGGGATTAGATTTCTTCCTCAAGAAATTAATTGGGAAAACGAGAGGTTGTGGCCCATTAGCTGTGGGGAGCTGACTGAAAAGGCCAAAGTGACTCTTTTCTGGCCATGTACAAACTGAGGCACAAATAGAGATGAGGCTTTGGGGCCCAAGAAAGGGAGAAGACAGTCTTATTTCCTGTTTTCTAGTTCTCATGAGGCCAGACCACACCTGTTTCCTATCCTGGGATCAATATGACTCTACATCCTGACAGCACTTGAGCTCATAGCAGTCTCCATTTTTGCACCTTAAGAGTCCTGACTAGACCTGCTGCCTATGGCAGCAAAGTAACAGAAAGCTGGCATCCATTACTACTGGGAGACCAACTAGTCTACCTCCCAGACAGTGCTTCCCACCCACAGCAGCACATCAGACTCACCTGTGCAGCTTAAAAAACACAAACACCTGCCCTTGGCTCACACCATGAGATTCAAGGGCTAGGGCACCTGCTTTATTTATTTTTTTAAGCTTTATTGGTAATTTTGAAGTGTACCTAACTCAGGCTGAGAACCACCATTCAAAAGGCACAGAAAGAACAGCCTCTTCCTTGTTCTCTAGAACCTTGTTCTCTTGCTAATCTAATTTCAGATTAGCAATCTGTCACCCTTAGGCAATGGTTCCTAACACTGTTTGGGCACAGCTGTTCAGCTATAAGAATACCCAATGATAATTTTATT